CTGAGCTTCCTACAGATTTAAATGCTGGAAAATATTTAAAGAGATTTAAGAGACAATGAAGAGAGGTTAATTTATAATAACATAATTATCACCATATGGGTGTCTTTATGTGGTAGTCGAAATCTGTCATGTGGTAGATGTCTGAGTTTGAGGCCAGCCTGGTCTACTGAATGAGTTCCAGGACAGCCAAGCTTAGGTGGTAATGGTGACAATTGAAATCGGGAAGGTGGTGAAGATGTGTTTTAACAAGGGAGCCAATCCTAGTTCCAGCAAACAGGAAAATGTGACAGCCTGGTCACATGGATTTTATTTTAGAATCAAGGATGAACTCTGTGTAATCTCCCTCTATATCCAAGGAAAGCTTTTGAGGCCAGGCATGTAGCAGAAGTGTACCTGAATGGAGGTCCAGAGAGGCAACCCCATGATGTTGTGAAGTTTAAGCCTAGATTACCTTGGAGACCCCAAGATGTTAGAGATGCCAGAGTCTTGGGGTGTCTGGCAGGAAAGATGTTAACAGGTAGTGCAACAAGCCTAAGACAAAGAAATGTGTTGCAGTCAACAAAGCAGAAAGGAGTTGGAGATCTGAAGAGCATTTTGACATCAGACATGGAAATGCAGAGTTTGGAGTTTGCCCAGATGGTTTTCAATTTTCTCTGGTCCAACATTACTTTATTATGTCCCTTTCCTCCCTTTTGGAATAATAATATATATTCTGTGTCATTGTATGTTAGAAGTATATGACCTGCTTTTTGATTCTGATTTTACAGGGCATCACAGTTAAGAGATTGCCTTGTGTCTCAGAAGGGATGGTCTTTTAAACAATGTTGAGAATGTGCTAGACTATTGGGACTTTTGAAGTTGGAACAAATGCATTTTTGCATTATGATATATCTACAAGCTTATGGGAATGAGGAGTGGAATGTGGTGGTTTGAATAAGAATGGCCCCCAGTGGCTCATAGATTTGAATTGTTAGTCACCAGGAAGTAACCCTATTTGAAAGGACTAGGAACTTTAGCCTCTTTGGAGGAATTGTGTCACTGGTGATGGGCTTTAAGGTTTCAAAAACCTATGTCAAGCCCATAGTATCCCCCCTCTCTTTCTCTCTCCTCTGCCTTCACATAAGGATGTATGTGTCAGCTACTGCCCCAGTACTTGCTTGAATGCCACCATGTTCCCTAACATGATGATAATGTGTTGATTTGTGCTGACCTATGCAGATCTGTTTGCTCCACCTGGGATCTGAGGATCTGAAAGAATGGGGCCAACTACAGTCTCATGTTATAGACAACCATACTTCAGTTTCTGCATACTTTTATACTCAAATGCAACAAAGAAAGCAATGATTCAAAGAAGACTGAGTGGATGCAACAAAACACAATTAGAAAAAAAACATGTAAATAAGCACCAGTAAGCACATAATAAATATTAACAGAGCAGCCTTGGAGAGAACTTTCTCTGGACAGGCCAATTTAAACACAATTGCCTGGCACATACTATAGATTATACATGAGGAAGCACAATATCAAGGCAGAAGGCCATATCAAGATTCAGAATATACTCACCAGATTGGTTTCTATAGCTAAAATCTGACATCCAACAGTAATAAATATGTCTTATGAATTGAGTAGAGATGTTTAACATAGGAAGCATGCAATCACACCCAAGAACAATCCAGGGAAAAAAATGCACTTCAGTTAAATGGCCCTCTAATTTTTTTTTCCTGGAGCCTCTCTCATGGTTTCTAAAGGCCCTGTTCACCATGCATTACTCTTTTGACTGTTTCAAGAATAATGGAATAGACCTTTGAAACTGAGCAAGTTCCAAATTAAACACTTTCTTTTATAACAGTGAGCTTGGTCATGGTATATCTTCAAGGCAATTGAAGAGTGACAAAGTTACCTCCCCCACCCATTAACCCTAATTCCTATTTTCCCGAATGACTGAATTCTTTTGTATGATTCCTTAAGGACTGAGCTTTAATCTTTTTTTGAGATTTGATTTTTATTTACATTTGTGCATATGCAGCCCATGTGAGTCTACACAGACTTGTGTGTGTACATGGGTACACCTACCTGTGTGTGTGTGAAGGACAGAAGATGATGTCATCACTCAGAGCTGGAGTTGCAGGTTTTGCATGATGCTTAGCTAGTCAAGTGGGTCCTGAGATCTGAACTTCCATCTTTATGATTAGCAGCAAGTGCTTTTCCA